CCCTCTAGTAGAGCATATAGAGTTTTTAACAAGCATACTTTATCTATTGAAGAATCTATACCTGTTATTTTTGTGGACATTAACCCTCGCTTAATGAATGAACAACTTCCTGAAGATGAGAAAATTTCCATAGTTCAAAAGTCAATCAATACAGGGGTGAACACTCCTGATGAAGTAACTGTTCAACAAGATCAGTCGACTAATAGTCCTACAGAAAATCAAGGATCTTCTACAAATGATCCAACAAATTTTGTTGAAAAGGAGCCAATATTAGTTGTTTTAGATGAATGGAAAAGTGAGCCTGGATATCCACATAAGTACATCATTGAAGATCCTCAGGAAGGAATGAAAACTAGAAGATCACTAAAGCAAATACCAAATGTTGCTCTCATATCCAGTTCGAACCAAAAAGGTGGATGGAGCACTTGGGGACAAAAGCTGGATAACTGCAATGAAGGAAGATCTTGATCAATTTGAGAAAAATAAGGTATGGGAACTCATTCCTAAACCACCAAATGCATCCATTGTTGGAAAAAAATGGGTATACAAAAATAAGTTGAATGAATCTAGACAAGTTGTGCGAAATAGAGCTAGACTGGTCGCACAAGGTTATTCACAACAAGAGGGAATTGATTACGAGGACACTTTCGCCCCTGTTGCCAGGGTAGAATCAATTCGCATTCTATTAGCCTATGCTGCTCACAAATGCTTTAGACTATTTCAAATGGATGTGAAAAGTGCTTTCTTAAATGGGTTCATCTCTAAGGAAGTAGTTGTTAAGCAACCTTCGAGATTTGTAAATGAATCATTTCCAAATCATGTCTACAAATTGTCCAAAGCACTGTACGGTCTAAAGCAAGCTCCTAGAGCTTGGTATGAAAGATTTAGCTCATTTTTACTCGAACATGGGTTTGACAGAGGTAATATTGATACTACTCTTTTTATCAAACGATCATCTCTAGGTAATTTAATTGTACAAATCTACGTAGATGATATTATTTTTGGCAGCACTAACCCTGTTTTGTGCAAAGACTTTTTAAACATCATGAAAGGGGAATTTGAAATGAGTATGATGGGAGAACTAACGTTCTTCCTTGAGCTTCACATCAAGCAAGTACATAAAGTGATCTTCATTAGTCAAAGAAAATACACAAAAGAACTCATCAAAAAATTTGGCATGTCAAACGCAAAGGCCATAGGAACACCTATGAGTCCATCAACTACCTTGGATGAAGATAAAGACGGTAACGGTATTGATGAAACAATGTATCGATGTATGATTGGCTCCCTACTCTATCTTACAGCTAGTCGACAAGATATTATATTTAGTGTTTGCGAATGTGCAAGATATCAGCCAGCTCCTAAAGAATCCCACTTGAATACTGTTAAATGTTTTATCAGATATTTGATAGGGACTGTCGACAATGGATTATGGTATGAAAGTTTAGAAAGTTTTGATCTCAAAGGTTTGTCAGATGCAGATTTTGCAGGAGATAAAATTGATAGGAAAAGTACAAGTGGAACATGCCAATTACTTGAAAAATCTCTTATATCTTGGCATAGCAAGAAACAAAGCTGTGTAGCCTTATCTACCACTGAAGCGGAATATTTGGCAGTAGGCACACAAGTATTATGGATTATGCATCAACTATTAGATTATGTTTTAAGTCTTAACTGTGTTCCTATTATGTGTGATAATACCAGTACTATTTGTCTATCAAAAAATTATGTGCATCATTCTAGGGCTAAGCATATCGAGATTAAGCATCATTTTCTACGTGATCATGTTGCTAAAGGAGATATTGTGTTAGAATTTATAAATACTAAAAATTAGTTAGCGGATATTTTTACAAAACATTTGCTTGAAGAAAGATTTTGTTTCCTCCGTAACAAAATTGGTATATGTACAATTCCCGTATAACTATGTTTAATGTTTTCCACAATTGTCTAATTCAATTTTTTTTACCATATATTTTCTTGTAATTTTCACCCCAAACAAAATCTTTTAAGTACTTGATTAGTTTGTATATGTATTAATTGTGAACCGACGGTGGGCTTGTAGAAGGCAACTTTTCAGTTGTCCTTCACATGTCTCTCCGAGAATCGAGGCATCCTCTCAAATCCTTTTTATCCCCTTTCCCTCGATCATATCTCCCATTCTCTGAAAGAAACCCAATCTCTATCTCTCTATTTTCTTTTACTCATGGCCAAAACCAAACCCTCTCCTTCCTCTTCTATACCGAGAAGAAGCCATCACTTCAAGAAAATCAAATATGACCTTGTTGATGTAGAATCCTCAAAAAGCACAAATCATCTACTGAACAAAGAAGAGTCGAGTGAATCTCAAGAAGACATTGTCATCTCCCAAAAGAAGGCGGGAAAATGACTAATGGAGTCCATACCTAAATAATCTTCTCAGAAAAAAGGGAAAACTGAAAGTGTAGAGTTTGGCCCTGAAGACAAGATGAACTTCTATGGCCCTAAAGAAAAGGCTAGGTTTGTTTCCTTCAAAGGAAAGTCTATTTCTTTTGGTCGCACTGTAAGTTTAAAGTCTATGCAAAACTCTCACTGTGATGTTTTGTCTGTTTTCAAACTTTAGAAACTTGTTTCCCTATTTGCTATTGTTGGTGATAATGTCTATGAAGAGTCTATGTGTATGTTTTATGCAAATTTACTTGTGAATGATAAAGAAGATTTAGAATCCATGGTTTTAGGAACTCATATTATTCTTGACTCTTATCAGTGTGAGAGAAGCTTTGAAACAAAGTTTGTTGGGTACAATTTTTTTGTGCAACACTCCTGGCCATATAATTTTGAATTGTCATTTGAGGAAATCAAGAGTGTGTTGTCTGAAAATCCTCCTGATATAGGTCGAAAGAATTTGAAGTTTGAACACCTTGTCCTAGCCCGCATTATTGCTACCCCATACTGGTTCACTGAGTACTCTGTCTCTCAGAGATATATTTGTTCTGTATTATATGGTAAATGGTAAAGCTATCAACTGGTTTGCCTGGGTACGTCAGTACATACTTGAAAGCATCAGGGATGTTTCATCTTCTGCGAAAAGTTTTCCCTATGGTTTACTAATCTCTCACATCTTGAAAGTTATGAAAGTGGATCTATCTCTCTATGCTCCTAAAACTATCTCTAGCACCTATGGCAAGACTACCTTTTCTATGATGGGATATACTTGATTTAGGGAACATGGCTTAATAATGACAAAGCACCGGAGTTCATCCCTCCTCAGAGCAGTAGAGGGATCAAATCTGAAGCCAACAAATCCTCTTCCTCAGATCAGCTACTGCTGATGCAGCAAAACATTGCAGGTTTCAAGGAATTACTAACCTCTATGCAGGAGCAGATGGATAAGATCAGGAAAGTTATCAAGGAAACTGGAGCAAACGTGGCTAAGCTAAGGATCACTCTCCAAGCCACAAGGAGGCAAGGGATCAAGTCCATGCAGGATGTCACTGAGAAGCTGACCAAAGTCACCAAAAGATATTGACACTTCTTATGACTGCTTCTGCACTAAAGTGATCAACACCCTGAAGTATTTCCTTGGAAGGAATTAAATGTCTAGGATACTTAGACAATCTTTTTATTTTATTTTATGAGGTGGTTAAAACTATTTCTTTTGGTTGTGCATGTCAGTTGACTATGCTCACTATAACTGCTCAACTGTCTATTATCTTTGCTGCTTAACTAGTATTATTACTGCAAATTATTTTTCTTGCTCTTTTTGATTGATGTCAAAAGGGGAGAAGAAATAAAAAGAGTACAGGTACAAGACAGGGGGAGAAACACACAAGAACCAACTTCAAGACAAGGGGGGTACAATTGAAAAAGGGAAGTACCCATAAATTATTGTCATCATCAAAAAAGGGGAGATTGTAAAGTTTAGAATTTTATTAATGATCAAAAATCTAAAAGAAGTCTTGACTAATGATATATTCTTGTATACAGATTCGATAAGCAACAATGTTGATAAAAGGAAAGAAAATCCTACTCAACGGCTTTGTATTTTAATTTATTTTTTACATGAAAAATAAATCAATCAGCCAAAGTAAAAAGAAGGAAAGTCAACAATCAGCATTATCAAAGATTCTCAAGCGCGCAAGAATGGGAAGAGAGCAAATCAAGGCCACAAATCAAATTCGGTAGATTCTGCAGAAGCTCAAATCAAGGAGGAATAAAGGAAGCAATTCGTCAAGATTAAGAATGAATCTAACTAATATTTCAAGCTATTTTCATCAGGCTACCCTTGGGTCTTTCTCTTAGATATATATGCCTCAAAAGGAAAGGAATCCTAGAATTGTTGCAATACAATCCCAGAAGACAAGGAAATAGAAGACTCATCAAGCTATAAAGGAAGAAGCAGAAGAATATTCAAAGACACGCAACTACATCATTTGTTTCTAAGCCTTTCTAGTTCTTAGTACAAACATTGTATTCTTGAGTCTACAAGTGTCATATAATATAGGAACCGTTAGAACACAAAATGAGATTTGTGTCAACATTGGAAAGAATCACTGTTGCTATATATTGTTGGTGGTGAACGTACTAAAATCATCACTGTTGTAAAAATTTATCAAATATTTAAGAGAACCCTTGTGACCCAAGGGAACTAGACGTAGGTACCATACCGGTACTGAACCAATATAAAAATTATTGTGTCTTCTTTACCTTTCTGTTCAATTAGTTTATCTCTACTGAAATCATTCACTGCGCAAAGTCTAATCGACTAAACTTATACTTAGTCAACTAATATTTTTAAATCAGTTACAATTCACCCCCATCTTGTTCTTTCACAAATTGCTAACTTGTTCTCTAAGAGGGCTCCTGGGACACTACAATCTAACATAGAGAAGAACCTGAAAGAAAGAATCAAAGTTGTGTCCCTGAGGACAGGAAACATGTTGGCAGATCCGATTATAAAATCTAGATCCAAGGTGGTGAGCAAATGGACTGGAACAAATGAGGAGTAGAAAATTGGGGAGCCAATGGGCGAGACTAGTGATGCTAAAAAGGAAAACGAAGAGAGAAAATACATGCCTGCTTTACATTTCCCTCAAAGGATAAAGCATAAAAAATTAGACAAGTGTTTTGGGCAGTTCTTGGAGATGCTCAAACAATTATATGTGAACACTCCCTTCATAGAGTTGCTCACTCAAATGACCGCTTATGAAATATTCTTAAAGGAGATGTTGTCGAGCAAAAGGTTGTTAGAAGAAACAACAATGATCAAGCTTAATATCCACTGCAGTGCCATATTGCAAAATAAAATTCCTCAAAAGTATGGAGATCCAAGAAGTTTTACCATACCATGCTTTTTGTGGATTGAGAAGTTTGACAAGGCCTTGTATGATTCAAGTTCATCTATAAATCTACTTTTCTATTTTCAGAAACTTGAAGGTGAGATTGGAGTGATCAAGTCTATACCAGTATACTCGCAACTGGCTGATAAGGCAACAATCATACCCGAGTAAATAATCGAAGATATGTTAGTGGGAGTGGATAAGTATTTGTTCTCCGTTGATTTTACTGTGGTAGACATGGAGGTGAACAAGGATGTGCCTATAATTCTAGGGAGGTCACTCTGTTCCAAGGGTAAAGAAATTCTTGATATTTATGATGGGAACTCATGTTCAGTGGAGAATGAGAAAGTGGTTTTCCAGATGAAGAGGATGATGAAGTATCCTAGTGATGAAGCGTCTGCCCACTCTTGTTTCAAGCTTGATATGATTAGAGAGTTGATTGAAAAATGTCAGTTTGACAAGCTTGTATGTAATCCTCTATAAACGCGTATCACTCAATCTAACATAGTGGAGGATGAAGATCCTTAAATCAAGAAAGAGGTTAAATCTCTTGAAACTAATAATCATGTAGTAGATGAGGAGGAACTCAAGAAGGAGGCATCTAAGCCTAGTGTGTAATTAAAAGTTCTCCTTGCTCACTTAAAATATGCTTTTCTTGAAACTAACAATTTTTCTATGATTATTTCTGCTTACTTGATAGGTAAATAGGAACACAAGTTGGTTGAGCTACTAAGAAAGTGCAAAAAGGCAATTAGTTGGACCATAGCTGATATTCAGGGAATTAGTCCAGCTATTTGCATGCACATGATTTTATTGGAAGAAAATAGAAATCCAGTAGTGCAACATCAACGCAAGTTGAACAAAAATTTAGAATAGGTATTGCAAAATATATTATCAAATTGCTAGATGCAGGAATGATTTTTCCATCTCTAATAGCCAATGGATTAGTCATGTGCAAGTTGTACCAAATAAATGGGGCATGACAATGGTGAAGAACAAAGATAATAAGTTGTTCCCCGCAAGAACAATTACCAGGTGGAGAGTGTGCATTGATTATAGAAGGTTGAATGATGCAAGAAGGAAAGATCACTTTCCACTTCCTTTTATTGATCATATGCTCGAAAAAGTGGCTGGACATGAATGTTATTGCTTTTTGGATGGGTAATCATGCTACAATTAGATACCCATTGCCCCTGAAGATGTTGAGAAGACCACATTCACTTGTCCCGTGTGAATTTTTGCTTATCGGAGAATATTGTTTGGATTATGTAATGCACCAACCATTTTTTAGATGTGCATGATGTATATCTACTCATATCTGAATGTGAAATGCTTTGAGGTATTTATGGATGACTTCACTTTGTTTGGTGATGATTTCAATGACTACTTGAAGAACTTGGAACTTGTGCGTAAACATTGTGAAGCCACTTACCTATTACTCAACTGGGAAAAATGTCACTTCATAGTAGAAGAGAAAATTGTTATAGGCCACAAAGTGACTACGAATGGAATTGAAGTAGACAGAGCAATGGTTGATGTGATTGCTAGACTTCCACCACCTACTTCTATGTAGAGCATTAGGAATTTCTTGGGACTACTGGGTTTTATAGGATGTTCATCTAAAACCTTTCGAGCATCAAGCCATTTACTGCATTGCTATCAAAGGATGTCAAGTTTGTGCTCACTATGGAGTGCCTAAGGGCATTTGAATTCATTAAGGAAGGACTTATTAGTGTTCCTATTATGGTGACACCTGATTGGGTCAAGCAATTTGAGATAATGTGTGATGTTAGTGATGTAGCTCTAGGAGCAGTTTTGGGACAAAGAAAGGATAAAATATTTAGGTCTATCTTGTAATGATCCGACTAATCATTTTGCTTTCCCATTCCTTTATTTAACACGTTCCGTATGTATTTTTCCTATTTTATGACTTGTGGGGAGAATTGTTTTGGTTTCCGAAGAGTTTAGGTTGAATTTAAAACACATAGTTCCATAGTAGTGGCCTAAGGTGGCCAGGTTTGACTTAAGTCAACAATTTGAGTAAACGAAAATCGGGATTCAAGAGTTCCAAAAGCTTTGAATGGTAATTTTGGACTTGACTGTATATTCGGATCGAGTTTACGGAGATTCGGGAGTGATTCAACACTTATTGTTGGAAATTGGCATTTTGAAGATTTTATAGTTCTCTATGTTTGACATAGAGTGGACTTTGGTTATATCGGGTCTCGTTCGGTATTTCGAGCCTAGGATAGGTTCTTATTATCATATAGACTTGCGTGTGAAATATGATTCCATTCGAGTTGTCTAAATATGATTCATGGTGTTCTGAGTTAGTTTATAGAATATAGAAGCTGGAAAGATTGATTTGTAAAGCCCCGTAAAATTTTGCATAAGGAATTTAAGGTTTCGTGGTGCCGAAGTAGGCTTACGTGTTTGAGGATTTTAGAAATTCTGCTCGCCGCGGCTAGGACTTTTTGGGTTGAACAATACGTTGGGGAGTAAAGGAAAAATTTGGGCAGAAATTCTTCGCTGCGAGCAAGCTTGCTGCAGCTAGAACATTGCAGAATCACTTTGCGGACCGCATAATGGCCGCAGAGTGAGGCAGGAATGGGCAGCTTTGGATGCCATTCTGCGGTTGACTATGCAATCGCAGAACTATTCTGCGGTTCATTATGCGCCCGCAGAACAGGTCTGCAGGCCGCATAATGACCGCAGACCCAGGCAGGCGACCCCCAGTTTTGGCCACCGAATTATGCGGCCGATATGCGGACCGTATATTAATTTTTCAATCGCATATGCGACCGCAGATCCTGTTCCAGAGCTTCATTTTTGGTTTTTTATAACCCAACCCTACTTAGTTAAATAGACTCAATGGACCATTTTTGAGCTAAAATCTGATGTTTTAGAGAGAAGTGAGAGTGTTTTAGAGAGAGAGTAAACCCTAGGCTAATTTTCATCAATATTTGCCCAAGATTTGGGAAAATTCATAAGGAAAACTCACAAGGTCTTCATCCTAGAGGTAAGATTCTACACCCTAACCCTTCATTTCGAAAGTTAACTAGAAATGGGAAATTAGTTAGATGATTCTTGGGTATGTGAGTTGGTTATTTTGCATGCATGTGTTATCAAGGGGTGTAGGATGATTGTTGAGCTCAAAATGGTAAATAATGGGTTGTGGGATGATGGAATCCTCCATAAAAAGACCTTGAAACCTCAATGCACACCTAGTGTCTGATAAAATGCTCAAATGAGCTAGAACCATGATCATCGTCCTAATTTTGGTTCAATTTGTTATATTTCTCAAATAGATTGAAGTTGCTAAGAATTTTGGAACATTTTAGAGTTTAAGGAAGCTCCATTGAGGTATGTTGGCTAAACTCCACTCCTAGAATTAAATCCCATGGTATTTATGCAATTTATGTAAAGTCTCGAATTGTTCATCATGAAAGTAGCAATTCCAAAGAAGCTTGTGATGAGAGATATATGTACAATATGTATCCCAAAATGATTTTATTATGTTATATTATCATTTGAGAATATGTTCAAAGTATGGGCTGTGCATTAATGTAAAGTCCCGAATTGTTCATCATGAAAGTAGCTATTCCGAATAAGCTTGTGATGAGAGATATATGTTCAATATGTATCCCAAAATGCTTTTATTATGTTATGTTATCATTTGAGAATATGTTCAAAGTATGGGATGTGCATTAATAATGCGACTTCAAGTCAAGTTCAAACGAAGGCTATTATGCCGAATTTTGTGAAAATATCTATGTGCCTAAGACTCTTAATTGGTCACATGTGTACTAAAAACTTTGATTTATAATGCCTTATTATTGATGAGGATGATGATGTTTGATAGTGAAAAAGGAGAGTATAGAATACTAAATACGGTCGATGTACCAAGAATAATTTTATAATTGTGGCCACTAGTGCCAATAAAATGAAAAATGTGAAAAAAGTATGAAATGCGATGATGGGTATAAAAAGGTTGATGTCTCGAATGAGACGGCCTAGCCGATCGGGTCATGATCGGATGTCATGCCGCACACATGGTGGTGATTGTGCTGGAAATTATGATTTTGGTTAATATATCTGATGAGATGGCCTAGCCGATCGGGTCATGATCGGACTCCGTGCTAAAAGTATGGTGGTATTTGGTATTGTGAATATTGGAATCATGAATGGTGCCATATTGGTACTAAAGACCTCCCAACTTAAAATATGGAAATTTATTTGAACATTATCTTGATCCTAATTTGAGGTTTGATGTTGTTTGAGGCTTCACTGATATTATAATTGTACTTGCTCATATTATTTATCATTCTATTGAGAGGGTGTTTTGTTATTCATACTAGTACTATTCCATATATACTAATATCCTTTTCGCCGGGGGCACTGCATCTTCAATAGATGCAGGTGGTTCGACAGCATGAGATACTGATCAGTGATAGCGGTACACTCTCTTCCCAACAGACTTGGTGAGCCTCACTTCATGTATCTTTTGTTCCTTGTGTATTGTGTTTGAGGTATAGCCAAGGCTTTATTGCCGGCATTATCATAATACTCTTCTGTATCTATTAGAGGCTTCGTAGACATAGTGTGGGTTGTATATTGGTGCTGGGGAAGTCAAAAAATATTATGTTGTATTTGAATTACTTGTTCCACTTTAGACCATGAAAACATGTGTGAAATTTGAGACTCTAAAATGAAGTAACAAAAGGTAAGAAATTGGTATTGCAGACATGATTACTTTATTGTTTGATTAACAAAAATAGGTATTTTCTTTATTCATGAATGGGTTTGGGTAGAAGCAAATCTAATAGGCTTGCTTGGACGGGTTCACTCGGTTGAGCGTCGGTCGCGCTCCCCGAGTTCGGGGCGTGACATGATTAATTTTGTATGGGGTGCGATTCTTGGTTGCGATATTATTGTATATGTTTCGAGGCCTCAAGTGTGTCCGAGTTACATTTTTGGACTTCTTGGTATGATTGAAATGGGTCACGGGTGGCTCGAAAGAGTTTCGGACTATCCGAAACATGTTCACAATTTGTCAAATTATGCTCGTGGTGGTGTACTTTGCAATCGCGAAGAAGGTCCCGTGATCACGAATAATAAGTTTTGTAGGGGAAGTTGTTTCTATTCATGAAAGTGTACAAGGTCCAACAAAC